TATTATATCTCAATCCAAATTGTTAGTAACTATATTTTGTAGTTTTTTCAATCCCATCTATCGCGTCCTTCCTGTTTTCATTTTGACCGCGGTAATTTCTCTCTACTACGGCAATGGCTCTCTCTCTGTTATAATATATCTATGTTATAAAAAAAAAAGAAATGAGAAAGATGGGGTTGAAAAAGTGAAACATAGGTTAAAAAAGCTTTTGGATTGAAATAGAATAAAACAATTTGTTGGGGCTAGTTTTTATAACAAAAAATGAATAAACCTAGGAGATAAAGAGATAAGGGGGTACCATGAAATATTCTGAAGGTTTTTTTATGCTTTTTGAAAAAAAATAGAAAGATGGTCTATCGTGAAATAAGATGGTGAATTAAGGATTTATACAGAAATTTTTTTTTTTTTTTGGGCCCGGCAGTTTAGCTAGAGTGAGGCCCAAGCTAATTATTTAATATCCAAGTTAACTATTTAATATATGATTTAAAAAAAAACCAAATGAATTTAAAAACCTATTTAATATGGCTTCTTTTGATAAAGGAAAAAGTTTATATATAGTTGCAACCTTAAAATGTAGAATTAAAAGTTTATATAAGGTTGCAACCTTAAAATGTAGAATTAAAAGTTTATACAAGGTTGCAACCTTAAAATGTAGAATTAAAAATACACCTCAAAAATCCATTGGAAAGTGTTGTTTTAATTTTGAAAAACCTTTTAATTGATCATCTTGACATCAAGATGATGAATATGAAAAAGAAAAAAAAATCTCAAAAAACAGTGCATCTTGCAACACATTATCTAAACCGTCAATTTTCAAAATTTTTTCATAAATCTAATTGATTTTAACAATTTTTGGAGTTCTAAAATTTATAATTAAATATGAAAATAAATTTTCAAATAATCCTATTATACAAAAATTAAATCTTATAATAAAATTTGAAGGTGCAACTTACTTAGATTGTTTAAAGTTGTAACCTTATACCAACGACACCTTTCGATAAATATCCCATCAAAATATATTTAGAATAGTTTAAAATTAGTTTAAGTGTTAGATATTTTGGAAACCGAATCATTGCGTTCCAATGGTTCATGGACCTTGTCATGTAGGTTAACTTTTTAATAGAGCTTATTTCGATAAGTAGCCCGTCAAATATTCTTAAAATAGTTTGATGCCGGCTAGACCGCATTTTTACATATGCAGTCTAGAAAGTGTAAAGCATCCGTCTTCAATATGGATACAAGAAGGTGTTCCATCTAAAAACAAAAGAAATTAACCATCAAAATGTTTCCTATTGGAATTATTATTTTTAGTTTTTAAATTATTTATTTGTTTATATCCATGATCTCCATGTTAGAGATTTTATGTTCTTTAAAATTAAGTCTTAAAATCGATCTTAAAAATAGATTTATTACGAGGCATGCGTTTCTACATATGCGGCTTGGCCGCATAAAAATCAGATCCTAGTTTAAAATGAGTGAAATGTTAAACATTTATTAGTAATTTTGGTGTGTTTTGATAAATTTATCATGGTTACTTCGTGAAGATCAGGTGCTTAGAATCATGAAAATGGATGAAATTTTTACAAGAAAATGTAAAGAATAATTGTATCTTGTGGGCCGGACCACAATTGTACAATATGTGTTCTAGAGAAATAAAACATCCATCTTAAAGATGAAATTAAATAGGTGGTCCATCTAAAAATAAAAACAATTGTAACTAATGGTCTAAATGTTTTCTTAATATAAATATTATTTTTAATTTTTAAAATTGATTTATTTTTTCATATTTATGATCTCCATGTTAAAATTATATATTTTTTTAAAATTAAAGATCAAATATATTTATTGCCAAGTACGCTTGTATATGTGCCGGCTTGGCCGCATGCTAACCGCATCCACATTTAAAAGGGCCCGCTGTATTCATATGGTTATGATAAAACACGCGATGAGCTTATTACCATCGATGAATGAGTCGGACGGTGATAGAGTGGTGCGGGCCCAAAGATACCATACATTAAAAATGTTAAAAGTAGTGTAAATAATGACTCTCTCTATCGTGGTGCAACGGAGTTGGAGGGTGATAAATGACAGGGTCTCTCGTGGCAGCTGTCGGGTTCGGTTGACCACCGCTACCAGGTCCGTTTCTAAATCATTTGGACGTGAGACCAGGTTAGGTCGGGGCCTGGATATGGCATGGACCCAATTGAATCGTGTCGGCTTGGCCCGAAATATAAAATATGTATACTAAATAATATATAAAATAAGTTTTATTTTTAATATGCCAACTTGGGTTGGGTTCTGTCTCGGACCCAACCCGACCCAACTCGGAGGTTGATATTCATCATTATCATGGTCATTTTCTCAACTATTTGTGATGAGCTATAAAAATCCTAATCCGTCAAAACGGTAGATTCAGAATTTATTGAAACTTTTTGTAAAGTTTTGTATTGACTACCTATCTAAACATAATTTATTTCTTTTATTTGGGCTTAAGACATATTAAAAACTTCTTTTATCTAGGCTTAGGACATATTAAATACATCTTTATCTGAGCTTAGGACGTATTAAAAAAAAAAAATATATACAATGAGGCCATTTACCTTTGATACACGGTGGTCACAATTACTAACAACCATTCGATATAAAATTTGATAGTTTGGATGTGTCACAGAGTTTGAAAAAATTTCTTAAATAAAGTCTAGATAATGTCTTTGATAACTTGTTGGAACTGCTAAGAAAGGTTTGGATATTGTGTTTGATAATATATATATATATATATATATATATATATATATATATATAGTATTGTTATATATAATAGTATATAT